TCCTATCTTAAGTACATATTATTTGACACAATTCTGAGCAACACATCTTGTGTACAAATAACTTACATGAAGATTCTTAAGAAATAATACAATCTGAGTGTTGTACCCTAAAATTTTCCCTCTTTGTTCTCAAAACATTTTCTCACAAGGATTTTCAAAAGTCCAAGTTTGCACAAATACAATTGGATTTTTGATGCCCCATATAGTTTCCATGAATCACATTGGGCTTTCAAGTATCAAATCAAAGAAAAGCAAGCTTGCTTTGATTTCCCAAGCTTCAACTGGACTTTGGTCTCCTTCAAGTTTGCTTTAATTTCCCAAGCTTCGACTGGACTTTGGTCTCCTTCAAGTTTGCTTAGATTTTCCAAGCTTCGACTGGACTTTGGTCTCCTTCAAGTTTGCTTCAATTTCCAAAGCTTCGATTGGACTTTGGCCTCCTCCAACTTACCTTCAATCCACAAGGAAAAGGCTCCTTCAACTTGCCTTCGATCCACAATGCAAAGGCTTCCTCTAACTTGCCTTTGATCCATAAGGCAAAGGCTCATTCAACTTGCCTTCGATCCACAAGGCAAAGGCTTCCTCTGTGCTTGCCTTCAATCCATAAGGCAAAGGCTTCCTCTGTTCTTGCCTTCAATCCACAAGGAAAAGGCTTCTTTAACTTTCCTTCGATCCATAAGGCAAAGGCCTCTTCATGCTTGCCTTTGATTCACTAGGCAGATACTTCCTTTAGGATTGTCTTTGATTCACAAGGCAAAAACTTCTTTCATGCGTGCTTCAATTCAAAAAGCAGTGACTTCCCTCATGATAGCTTTGACTCCACCCCGGAACCCTGCAACACATAATTTCTACATTATGAATACCAATTGGTGGCCCATTCGAAGAACGCGCAAGGGGTGCATGTGGGCTATTCGAAGAAACACACAAGTGGTGCCTTTGAAGGACATACATTTGTCCCATTCAAAGAACGTACAAGTGGTGCATGTGGTCCATTCTAAGAACACGCGAGTGGTGCCTTCGAAGGACATACAATTGGTCCATTAAAAGAACACACAAGTGGTGCCTTCGAAGGACATACATTGGTGGCCCATTCGAAGAATGCACAAGTGGTGCATGTGGCCCACTCAAAACACACACGAGTGAGGCCTTAGAAGGACATACAATTGGTCTATTCGAAGAACACACAAGTGGTGCCTTCGAAGGACATACATTTGGTGTCTCATTCGAAGAAACTCACAAGTGGTACCTTCGAAGGACACACATTGGTGTCTCATTCGAAGAACACCTAAGTGGTGCATGTGGTCCATTCGAAGGACACACAATTGTTGGAAACAAGTTTTGTTTTATCTTTCGATGAGTCTGGTTTTAGATGCTTGCTGGCCAAAGTTCTACATACTGCCAAACCTAAGCCTCCTGCACAATTACATTCGAAGGAAATGACAAAAGAAGCTTCGACTGTCCATAATGAAGTGTTTGATTGGGCTAATAGAAGAATTTTCCAGGTCAAACAACCAACATAGATGAGCCATCGAAGGAAACCACCCAGATCCAATGGAAGAACAAGGCTTGAGGGCATTCAAAGGAGTCAATGAGTGAAACCTATCCAGGTTCATTCAAAACCCAAAACGGTAGAAAATCCTCAAAAAAAGGAAACATGTTTAAGGCTTTTGATTCTTCCTTCAAAGCCTGATTAATGGCTTGCCATTTCCATTCACCACTACCCCTATAAAACCTGTTGATGCGGAATGATGGTCTCCCAGAATTAGCACGAGCACAACGGACAACCCTTTGATTCTATAAGGTGAAACCCAAACCAAATTTATCGGACCTATAAGGGATATTGGGAAGCTGACCCCAAACAGTGCCACCACCTTCTTCTACCACAACCTTGGCGTCTTTCAGAGAAGCCATTCTTGGTGGAATCCTTGTAACCTTAGGAACGGTAGAAGTAGATTTGTCAACAGGGGTTGTCTGAGGAATAACTTCAAAGGTATGACAAGGAGTCTCGAAGAATTCACCATCCATCTCAACATACTTGAAGGAATTCAAATGGCTCACCATGTATTCTTCTTCGCTTCAAACTATAACGATTTTTCCTTTTACGGGATACTTCAACTTTTGGTGTAAAGTAGAAGTAACAGCGCCTGCCCCATGAATCTAAGGGCATCCGAGAAAACACGAATAGGCTGGACGAATGTCCATCACATAGAAAGTATAGTTGAATACTTGGGAACCCACTTTGTTTGGAAGATCAACCTATACATGCACCATTCTCTTTGAACCATCAAAAACTCTTACCACAATGTCACTGGATTTTAGCATAATCCCTGCATAATCAAGTTTGTCTAAAGCAGCTTTTGGCAATACATTCAACGAGGAACCTGTATCCACCAATACATGGGATAAGGTAGTGCCCCTACACTCAATAGAGACATGCAGGACCTTATTATGATTCTTTCCTACAAGAGTTAAGTCAGCGTCATAAAAGCCTAGCCCATTATCGGTTGTCAGGTTAGCAACACAATTTCTTAACTGGTCAACAGAGATTTCCTACGGTACATGAGTAGATTTCAGGAAATTTACCAAAGCCTGAGCATGGGCTTCAGAGCACAACAACAAAAATAGCATAGATATTTTAGAGGGGGTCTGCCCCAACTGTTCAACGATCTTATAGTCACTCTTTCGAATAATTTTTAGTACTTCTTCCATCTCTTGCTTGGAGGTATCTTTAACAGTAACCTCTTTCGGTGCCTCAGTCTGTGCAGTCTCAGTCATATATTCTTTGCCTCGAGTTTCAATAGTCGATTCAGTGGTAGTGATACGAACTGGTGTAGTAATGGCTTTTGGAGAGATCTATGGAGAGAAAACCCTTCCACTTCTGGTAACTTTACTAGTCCCAACAATATTGCCAATATTGAGATCGGTAATTTCAGTATTTTTATCTTCGACAGTCAACAGTTCTTGCTTAACGCCATGGTAGTAGACATCAACTCCATAATTCCAAGGGATAACCTTGTCAGAGGAATATGGAATTAGCCCATGTGCGGTAATGATTAGAGGAGCAACCCTAGATTCGACAATATTCTTTACAGGACCCTTAAAAGTGATCCTTACAAGAGTACCAGAAATTGCAGACACATCTTCAAGCTTCAGGTCTTGAGAGATACTCTCCGCGGAAGGAGTATTCTCAAATAGAATTACACAGTCATCCATCAAACGTTGAACACCTTCTTTCAGCAGTGCACAACCATTGAATTGGGACACACAATAGTAGCACCTTTCAATGCAACTCGAAAATAAACCGACTTGCAGCAGCTTCTTCTTAACAATCATCAGAGGAGTAGTCAAGTCATTTACAGCAAAAACATAAGAAACATCATCAATAACATTAATGTCTTTGTCGTGATTAGACATAGGTGCAATGATCACATTAGGAGTCTCAAGAAGATCAAATTCAATCTCCTTAAAAATATAATAATATTATAATCTATTATAATATATCTTTGTTATTAGTAGTATACATAAAAAAAATTCTTCAAATAATAAAGTATTTATTGTTAATAGATATATTTATATTACTTAAATATTTAATATATCATTTGTATTACTTAAAAATAGTAATAGGGTTGAGAATTTGACATGTATAAATGTTGTGAAAGAGCTCATTTCCCTTTATTATATTTAATAGATAATAGATTCTATGAACATGTATAATTTTTATATCAATTTTTTTACAAAATAAATAATAAAATGGAGATGGGAATAAATGTACTTAAAATAATTTTGATAAGAAACAAAAAGTATATTTTATTAATCATTAAATAATAAAATGGAGATGAAAATAACGTACTTCAATTTTTTTTTAATAAAAAACAATGTACACATTTTAGTAATCATATATTTGCTTAATATATAGTCAACTTTGAATTTACTAATGGATTGCGACACACCAAATTAGTAAACTTATAACTAAAAAATATATTTAGAAATATATTTAGAGAGATGAAATATAAAACTGTTATATTTAGAAAAATAAAAATAAAAAATAAAAATATTTAATATAAGTGATCAAAATTAATTGAATAATTTAATATTATTGTAAATTTACATGAAAAATTAAAATACCATTTTAATTGATAAAAATAAGTTCCAAATATAAATAATTGAATTCAATCATTTATAATGAAGTTACGTACTAAATATTATTGAACACTCAATTGTCTTTTATTTTCATTTATGGGAAACAGATGGCTTAGTTAATGCATTGAAATGATTTGTTATTTAATTCGAAATCAAGGAACAAAATTGAAAATAAAATACTCCAGTACAGGTCAAAACATTGTCAAATATGTATTTAAATAGATGGCCAAATTTGTGACAATGTGTTGTGAATATTTAATCAGATAAATCAATCATATTAATGTTAATTAATGTAAGATTTATAAAAACACCATACAAATATAATATATTAAAATATTAGTATAAAAGATTTTTATAATTTCTAAAATAAATATAAATATTTTGAAATTGAAATATAAAAGAAAGATAAAGAGTTTTTATATTCTTTGTAAAATCTTTAATTCATTTTTATTATATAAAATTAAAAAAAAAATATGTGAAAAAGTATTTGAGAGAGATAACCTTAAACATAATCCTATAGTAGTCTAAGTGAGACGGAACGACGCCGCTAGCTCCCCATGCCCACTAATGATTTTTTTTCCTTTCATTTATTGTCATTATTTATTATTATTTTTAACAAAATTCATTAATAAAAATAAAACACCTTCTCTCTCATAAACCGATTTATTTCTTAATCTTTGTTTGTCCTTAGAGAAAACCTCTCTCTCTCTCTCTCTCTGTGTGTTCAACGCTCACGAGACCTTACGCATATTCCTCTCTCAAAATCAACATTAGGCATAAACCAACATCAATAAACTCTCATCCCCGTGAACTCCAAACACATATTTCATTATTGTGAGGGTTGATTACATGTTACATGGTACTCAAATCAAATGGAAACACAAATCAAAAGTAGCAACAAAAAAATACATATAGTACTTTCTTTTCTTCTGTGTTTTTCTTTTGTTCTTGGACTCGGAATCTTCTTCTCTGATCTCCTTTTGTGCGTGTGTTGTTATTGATATGTGAGTGTGAAGTTGTTGCGGCTGTGGTTTTGAATATGAATATTGAGGGTGAGAATAGGCTACAATTTTCGGGAGGTTGTGAGTGAGTTTTGTAGCAAGGTTGAGGGTTGCGGATTTAAGGGTTTTGAGGAAGAAATTTGACAGAGTTTTCATGGTATTTTTGTTGGTGACTTTTAGTGTATGGAATGAGGAGGAAATGGAGGTTGTTATATAGTGTGTTTGAAGGAGGAAGATAAAGGGAATTTAAATATTTTATGCTTCTCCCAAAGAACTACTTTTGAATTCCCGATTGATACCAATAATTTTACTTATCACAATGTGACTTTTGAAATATTTTAGGCTTCTCTCAAAAAACTACTTTAGAGTCATCATAATACATGATTTTTCCAATGGCTCAAGCATACATGATTTCACGTGACCCATAACAAACAAATTTTGTACATTTATATTTATTTCATTTAAAAAAAGAATATAATTATAATAATTGAAACTTTCCTCTTATAGAAATATGTAAATATGATAGAAGAGCTAGAGTCTAACAAATGTACAACTTGTCAAAGAATTCATTTTCTTTTATTATATCGTATAGATGCCTTATTTTATTATTATATACACTACAAGAAAAATTGTCGCTTGCGACGTGATCTAGTAACGTGATAAAATGTGACAAAAAATGGACAGTTGCGACGTAATTATCACGTCGCAAAAGTTTTTTAATATTAAAATAATAAGTGTAACGTTAGCACATGGAGAGTCGGATTTAAAAAAAAAATGTTGTGGCGTGAAAATCACGTCGCAACTTTTAAATTAAATTAAAAGGGTATGGCGTTCTGAAGAGGGGAAATTTGAAATTTTCAAAAAAAAAATTGTTTGGATAAAGATAATATGTATTAAAAAAAGATTGATACACAAAAATATGGGAGACTAAAGCAACCCACTCAAAGTATCTAAATCTAAAGAGAGGCAATCTTAGCTTATTCTTTACATATTGACCTCTAATCCCGATCGGTAAAGAATAAAAAAGAGTTAAGACATTAGTTGTGCGGTCTAAGTTAGCAAAAAAATCTATACAACTATTGTCTTCCCTACAAATGTGAGAGATAATAAAATTCATGTCTAATATAAGTTTGGTACAACAGTTCCATATGTTTCGAAGTTGCCAGAGGATTAAAGCCTCATTTGTAGAACAAAAAGCATTAACCACTAAAGTAGAATCAAATTCTACCTAAAGATTTGACCAACCTCTGGCAAAAGCTAATTCAATCCCTCTAAGAACACCCCAAAACTCTGCAATGAAGGAATTACTCCAAGATAAAGGTTCAAAAAAATCCAAAAAGAACTCCCCAGAATTACAACGAAAAATGCCACCACAATCCGAGGAAGAGGCACCCTTCACAAAAGAACCGTCGACATTGCATTGCATCCAACCTTGACGAGGCAGATGCCAAACAATCTCTTTAGTTAAAGGAGCCCGCGATGGATTAATTGGAATAAGGAGGACTTTAAGAACCTGGAAATCAAACACACTATGTCGGAAGGGAAGCTTGGTAGAAGTACATGAGATCTTCACCTGGGTCGTAATAGAGGCACAAACCGAGTGGAAAATCGGATTCTTGTGATGATAACGAACATAGTTTCTAACCTTCCAAATCACATTAATCAAATAAATAGTAGATGCATTAATCGCAAACACTCCCTGAGGAGAAGATGCTTTCGAAGAAAGCATCCAATAATTTTTGGGCGTCACAGAAACCTGCAAGCTTAAAAGACCACACAACCAATTCCAAATTTTGCAAGCAAAAATACACTGGAAAAGGGAAAAATGTTTAAGAGGGAAAGAGGGAAAATTGTCTGACCTTGAAGTGGTGGGATGTTGTGGTTGACTGACTTAAAGTTATGACCGTTGGAACCGTTATGACGTGATTTTCATTTTGCAAAGTTGCGACGTGAAAATCACGTTGCTGTATTATTATAATTGATTTAAATTTCTAAACGTCGGGGTGTTACGACGTGAATATCACGTGGTAAGGTTGCAATGTAAAACTCATATCGTTGATTAGCTTATATAAAGGCACGCTTATCTCTTCCCAAAAACCACACTTATGTTATTATTTCTTCTTTTGTTTTTCTTCTTCTCTTCTCTTTCTCTAATGTGTTTCTTCTTCCCTCGTATCTTTCCAATTTCCATTTGTATCAAAGGTAAGTTTTCTTCCATTATTTTTCTTCAATTTATTTTAATAATTTTGTTTAATGTTTATAGTATTTTTTTAATTTTAATTATGTTTAATTTTTTTTGTCAAGATATTAAAGAGGTTAGGAAGAAGATTGAAGAATATTGAAAAATGATAAAGAAGAAGATTGAAGAACATGTGTTTTTATAATTTTTTTTTAATTTGATATATTAATTAAGTTGTTGGTTGTTGTTTAAATATTATGTTTTTTTTTTTTTGTAAAATATGTTATTATGTTCATATTGTAAAACGGAAAACTATTTAATATATTTATTTAAAACAAAAATGTAGTATTTTTTTTATTAAAACAAAATTATATATAAGATATTTTCTGTTTTTATTTTTGAAATAGATTATATATATTAAACATAATATATATATATATATATATATATATATATATATATATATATATATATATATATATATATATATATATATATATATATATATATATATATAAAAAAAAAAATATATATATATATATATATATATATATATATATATATATATATATATATATATATATATATATATATATATATATATATATATATATATATATATATATATATATATATATATATATATATATATATATATATATATATATATATATATATATATATATATATATATATATATATATATATATATATATATATATATATATATATATATATATATATATATATATATATATATATATATATATATATATATATATATATATATATATATATATATATATATATATATATATATATATATATATATATATATATATATATATATATATATATATATATATATATATATTTTTTTTTTTTTATATTCTAAGAGGCTCAGAGCCGCTTAATCCACATGTAGAGTTTTATATTTGGAGTCAAGTCAATCGCGAAAAAGGGCGTAATGGACGAATTTTTTGTGGTGGAAATTTGACGACACCTTGAGAAGAGGGGATAAGACTTTATTTCAAAGAGTTAGAGATGGAGAAGGATCGTCACGTCCACCACAATTGACACATGAAATGTTAGAAACAGTAAGACAATTGACGCTACCTGAGACGAGACGCGAGTCAGCGCAACGTGATGAGGTAATGAAGGTTCAAATGGAGGAGCAACAACGACTAATGGAGGCAATGGCGAAGAAGCAAAGTGATATGGAAGAGAAATTGTGGCGATTTATGCAATTCAAAAGGAGTGGTAATCAAATTGGTGAAAATGAAGGAGTGGGTGGTCAACAACCGATGGATGAGGAGAATAACGATGATTTTAACATTGACGAGTTTTTTGACCCATAGAATTTATTATATTTTTATTTCGCTTTTAAAGTTTAATTTGTGTAAGATATTAATTAAACCTTTTTAGTATATTATATTCAGAAATTTTAAATTTAAAGTTTTTCTATTATTATTATTTTATTATTGATAGTTTTTATTTATTAATTTATTAATTATATTTTATTTATTATTATGTAGTAATTTTTTATTTTTTTATTTAATATATTAATAAACTTTTTTTATGATATTTATTAATTTAATTTATTTAATAAAACTTAATAGACATTATTTTTTTTAAAGTTTAATTAAAAAAATTATTTTAGCGACATGATTTTCATGTCACAAAGTTGTGAAATGAAAATCACATCGCAACTTGTTTGTTTCAGATTTAAATTTAAAATAAAAATAGTTATTTTAGTGACATGAAAATCACATTGCAATTTATTAAATAATTGGTGTATTTTCAGTCACGTCACAAAAAAGTTATTGTGTGTTCAGTTACGTCGTAAAAACCTCCCCTACCACGTGTTCAATCACGTCGCAGAAAACCTATTGTGATGTGATTTTTCACTTTGTGATGTGTAAATTACGTTACTAATGAATTAAATTTTTGTAGTGATAGTCTATATATGTTATTTTATATTCATTATATATTATAATTTTTTTTCTTCATTTATCTAATCTTTATAGCTTACTCTCTTTATTATTTGATTAACAAATTTTATATTTTAAATTATTAAATAAATAATATATTTAAACTATGGATAAATTAAATATATTAATTATTTAATAAATTTAAAAACATTTATTTATAGTAAAAAATAGTGAAAATATGTTATTTAGGTAAAATATTTATTTTGGTCCATTAACTATATCTTTAGATTCAATTTAGTCTCTTATCTTTTTTCATGTTAAACTGGTCTTTTAACTTTTCAATATATACATATCAATCCTTTTCATCTATTCTTTTAGTCAAAATTTATTAAATATCTACGTGACAGCTCTTGCGACAGACTTAGCATTGAAAAAATCAATGCCAAAAATTATTTTTGAAAGTTATTTATTATTGTTCATCTTCTTCACCACATTTTTTTATAAACAAAACCTAACAAAAATAATAAATAAAAAACTCAAATACATTTTTGATCCCCTTATTTTCAAGTTTTTTGAGTTATAGTCCCCCATTTTAAAAACTAAATCTTTGGTCCTTAAACTTTACCTCACTCGAGATTTTTGGTCCTTAAATTTTTTGAGCTATATAGTAACTCCCTACAATGTGTTTTCATCTAACGTGGAGTTACTGTAGTTAGGGGTGAAAATAGGCTGGACCGAGTTAGACTTTATTAAATCTAAGTCTGACCTGCCAAAAAATAGAAGTCTAAGTTTGACATGTAGCCTATCATAGACTTATTTTTAGACATGAGTCTGACCTTTTCTAAGGCTTGGTTAGCATGTTAGTCTACATAAAAACCTATTATTTTAGACATATGTAAATAAACAATTTAAATCATGTTTAAATAGACTAACAAACTAAAAAATAATGAGACTAAAAGTTTGTTTGCATTGATTTATTTTAACTTACCAATTAACATAAATTTTGTGAGACTATTTGTTTAAGAGAACTTGTGAAAACATCTTATAACATTGTTCATAAGGTGTTTTCATCTTATTTTCATAAGTTTTCCAAGATAACCATGTTTTATTTATGTATTTTGATTCAAAGTACTAAACATAACATAATGATAATAAAAAAATTATTCATATTTATTTATATAGGTTGGCCTGTTAGATCTAAAAGGTTTTTTCCTATTGCTGAGACTTAACCTTTTTAATTAAATAGACTTATAAAAAAATTTAGGCCTAACCAGAGCCTATGTAGACTAGGCTATAACCTGAACCTATATAAGTTTGGCTATAGACCCATGTTATCGGCCTGAACTATTCCCATCCTTAACTGTAATAGTATTATGTCGTTAATAACATATGCAAAATTAGAGGGGACCAATAAAATTGCAAATAAGATGAAATTTAGGGGAAAAAATAACTTTTAAAATAGGAGGGTTAAAACTAAAAAAAAACATAAAAATAAGGAGATGAAAATACATTTAACTTTCACCATATTGATGTAGGTCCCTCTTCTCCTCTATCCAACTATTTTCACGTTAAAACTCAGATGTACAAACTGCAAAATGTCAACCTCTCATCTCTCCCCCACGAATTCTTCTTTCTCTCTCACCAATCTCTCTTTCTCTTTCAAAAATGAAAAAGCATGGATCTACAGCTTCCAAACTCAATAAAAAACAACCGGATAGAGGTAGAAAATGGCTTCCTGTGTTCCATAAAAACGGGTTCCAAAATTTCTCCATGGATTTGCATGTTAGAGATGTTGTGCTTTGAAATTCGATGGTTAATGGGTATGCGCAAATTGGATGCTTTGAAGAGGCGTTGTGGATGTTTAGGATGATGGGGGGAAATGGGGTGGTTCCTTGTAAATTTACAGTTACTGGTGTTTTATATATTCTGTAATAGGAGACTTTGAGAATGGCCGAGTTGTTCATGGGTTTGTTACAATGATCTAACCAACACACATTTGAAAAGACTCTTGTAATGATCTAACAGACACTTTTAAGGCCACAAACATTTGACCCAATGAGTCGATAAACACATTTGAGCTTGATCATATTTACCAGCACACATTCAAAAATGACCGCATAAACACTTTTGAGCTCGATCATATCTACCAACACATATTTGAAAAGACTCACCCAATGACCTGATAAACCGTTTCCACTTTCGTTGCATGTCTACCGCGAGGAAAGATATTACTTTTGTAGATAATACTTTCATCAATACCAGTAAAGAAAGAACAATGCTGAGCATCAATAGATGACAGCAGATAACATCTCAGAGAATTTTTGGCTGATTACGTTAAACTACTCCTAGCAGAAAAAAGACTTTTAGCTATTGATGGGTTTAGGAGAAATAGAGAAGAGAGATGCAAGAACAATTCAATAACAATTCTACCAACAATATCAAATAAAACTGATAAACACAAACAATTGTAAGTTTAAAATCTTTATTCTAGAGACAAATCAAATGTCATCCAACAACAAAATTACACAATCATAATATCCTTTATCTGAAAAATCAAATTCCTTTATCCTCCTACTTCTCAATCCCAAATAACAGAGAGCCAAAAATATTATTCAAACACAGAGAACAAATTTTCTAGAAAAAAAGCTTGGCATCTGTTAGACTTAGTTAGGATTGGAGAAGAAGCCGTTGACGGATGGCATAATCTCAGGGCTCTTTCCGCGGACAAACTTCCTGACAAAGTGTTGTGAATATTTCTCACCCTCGGATTCATTGTCAAGAATTCCTGCAGCTCTGTTCTGCTTGGTTACCCTGAAACAATAATCAAATTTCAGAATACAATCATACATCACAAAAACCCCAAATCAAACAGCAGCACATCATAATACAACAACAACTGAGTCGTATTCCACTAATTGCAGTCGGCTAAATAGATCAATTTCCGGCATAACAATAATAGATCTAAAAAACAATATCAGTTTACATAAAAACATATCAAATTGAAAACTATCAGATCGCCCAAAATCAATTTTATAAAATAGTTTTACTAGTTTGGTTACAACATGCATAGACATAATGACAAACAAAAATCATCAAACAAGTTGTATACCTGACTTCAGGATTGGTGGTTAGGTTTCTAACAAGTTGCATAGCGCAGAGGCCAACAGCCATACCAACGGGCACGAAAAGTGGGTATACCTATTCACATAACACAACACATAACAATTAAATATTGTCACATCACGTACAAATTTTTTTTTTACCATTACGATATATACTAATAATGAAACCGTGTATTGAAAATTCAGATCGAATGATTCTGGAACTGTTACATAAGGAATGTTACAATATGTACCTCGGGTCTAATCCATCTGTTGGGAGCCATATTGATAGAAGAGATGCAGGAATTGATGAATAACGCTGAGAAGATGCCCCGCTTCCAAAAGAAAAGAATGGAGACGGAGCGAAATTGGAGAATGAGAATTGTGAATTGGGAGAATAAGGTTTATGAAGTTTTTATATGTGAACGTGACACCAAAAAAAAAAGGCCTAATAAAATAACCCTAAAAAGAGGGGAAATATGCGTGTAATGTGAATTAGGTCAGCAATGTGCGAGCCGTCGTTGTTTTAATAGTCGCGTTCAATTTGTGTCAATGAATGTTCTTAGTTTAGTTATGTCTTTTTCTGTGAACTTCTTTTGGCCAACGTGACATTATTCAATTTCGAGAATAAATAAACTTTTTTTAATTATTTTTTCGGGAGATAAAATACAGCTTGAAGAGCGGTTTGCCTCTTCCTATGATCACCAACCAAACGCGTATTACAATTTACAACGCTAGTCAATCACTTGTAAAGAAAAAATGTTATCAAAATTTAATTGGAAAAGTAAACATATCCATTGAACGCGGCACTTTTTTTCTTTCTCGAAGATACGTAATTGGAAAAGTAAATTATTATTTTAATGTAATGAAAAAAATAAATAAAATTAAATGCACTTTTGAACTTTTAATTTGAACATTTTAAATAACTAATTTTTCTACAGTGAATCTTATCTTTTTATTTAACATGTCTTGACAATTACTTAGTCTTCTATCCATTTTAGTTGATGTGTTATGTTTTTTAATAAGGTGGTATTACTAAGCTCAATCCGTATCATCATATAATGTTATTTTATTAATTAATTTAATATTTTAATTTACAAATGAAATGATATTTTAATTAAGTATAACATTATTTTAATTGTATGAAAATCTATATAGGTATTTGAAAGAAACAAAGAGTTCATCGTTTTCCCTACATTCACACCCAATGTTCGTCTACATTCTCATGAATTTCACATTGTTTCTGTTTGTTGCACCCCAAAATTTGCCCTCTTATTTCTCAAGGAATCACCCTGGATCCTCAAGTTTGCTTCCATCTAATTCCAAGCCTTAAACAACAATTTTTAAAGAAAAGTCATTCATAAGGGCAAAATGGTCATTTGCACACTGAGAAGTCTAACTTTGACTTTTGGATCGAAATCAAATCTCAAAAATCATATTTCATCAAGACATGTTGGAATATGAAGTTTGTTTCATCAAGAATTTCAAAAGTCAAATTTTACTTTGGAAAAGTCAAATTCTAAATACTTAAAAAAATTTCTAAGTGTTTAAGAAGCATGACAAAACTCAGAACTTCTGACCAGATTATCACCTTAACACTCAGGAAATTCTGGACACTCTCAAGACAAAGTTTGGTCAGAACTTCTGAGCAAGTTTTCACAAAAGTTCAGTCAGAGCTTGCCAGGGTAATTCAAAGAAGGTTAAGAAGCATGCTGCAAGCTTTCTAGAAAGTCTAAAAGCTCCTTCAGAACATGCTGGCACCAGAAGATAAAGGGATCAGAAGATTGGATGTTACGCAAGCTCAGAACTTCTGATCCAGAACTAAGCCTTGGTGTAGAATCTCAGTTGCAGGATTTCTGGTTGTGATAAGTCTCATCATTATTTAATGCTCACAACCACTTTCTGAGTCTTTATCCAAAGCATTTTCACCACGTGTACCTCTACTGTCTTGGGATAGCAAACTTTGGTACTAGGCCCATGCTTTGCTTTTTGCTTTTCCTTAATTTCTGCTGACAACCACCATGCTTGCTTCAAGAACAAGGCAGCGCTTTAGTATATGAAGGTTATATTCAACGCTTTGGTCAGAACTTGATCAAATCCCAAAACCTTGTTTATACAACCTGCTGCAGACCTATAACCAACAGCTAGTTCAGCCTACGCCTGCATCCCATAATTGCACCAAACTAGCATACGAAAACATTGATGAAAAAGCAAGGGAACATGATGCCAAAAAAGGTTCAAATCCCATTTGTTTTCCCCCAAAATCACAACAAATTCACCTATAAATACTTTGCTCCATCACACGTTCAAAGAGCTGACTTTTGGAAAGAGAGAACTATCAAAAGAGAGAAAAGGAAGTTGAAACCTTCATAAAAAATCTATAAATCCCAAACAGAAAACCAAAACCTTTGTTCTTCCTTTTGAATCAAAGAGCTTGGCATTTCCTCTTCCGTTTCTCTTGCTGACTCAGAACATCCAAAAGTAGCAACTCAAAGCTCACAGCACGCTCTAGGTTCAAGGTAAGTCTTTCTAACTTTGCTTGTTTTTCATTCTGAACATCATTAACATGTAAATATCATAATATTAATGTTGTACATATCATTGCTTAAGTAGAAAAAACTGTGAATCAGAACTTTTTGATTAAGGCTAGGCTCAGGATCAGGATTAGAACTTTTGTAAACTATTGTGCTTTTTATCCTTTTGATTTGCTGTTTGTTGAAAACTGAATAGATTACTAATGTGCTGATTGAGAGTTGAAATATAACATAAAACTTCTGATGTTCATCCATAGTCTTAACATACAGAACTTCTAGGATTTTCTCACTGTTTAAGCACGCAGAACTTCTGAGTTCTCTTCATTGTTTTAACACACAGAACTTCTATGATTTTTCTCACTGTTAACACACACTGAACTTCTGATTCTTACATGCTGATAATGCACTGAACTGCTAATGTTCACCCACTGGCTCAGCACAATACATAACTTCTGATGATTCACTCAATGTTCTAACACAGCACAGAACTTCTGAGTTCTCCTTACATGTCAAACACATTGAACTTCTGATGTTTCCACTTGTTGTTTTCAAACACTCAGTTCCTGATTTTTACATGCTGATAACGCACTGAACTGCTGACGTTTACTCATTGTTTTAGTGTAATACAGAAGTTCTGATTTGTGGCCCACTGTCTGAATACCACCCAGAACATCTGTGTTTTCCCTCTAACGTTTCTTGCAGGACCTCAGAGTGTACAAATCCAGAACTTCTGATTCCATTGACGTTCCTTTCTGAGTCATCACGCGCCTGGCTTCAGAACTTCTGATCCCTGTTTGTTTTGCTTGCAGTAGCACGTTATTTCTGTCTTTCATTTATTTCCCTTTTCATCATCTTTAATATTAACATAAAAAGACAAAAAAAATATTTTCTTTTATTAATTAATTTATTTCCTTTTTTAAGACAAAACCATTTTCTAAACAAATCCTTTTTTCTTTCTTACATTGTCCATTCAATATGGTTATAATAATAATTTAGGATTTAATTTTATTTGCAATCCCCATTCATAAATATGTACCCCCATCCCCCTAAATATTGTAATAGCGTAGGACTTTACATTTCTGTAATTTATCGCTTTTGAATATAAATGCTAATAATTAGGGTGTGTATGGCAAGACATGAAATTGACAAATAGACCACCCTAATCAAGACTAAACGCATGCAATCAAACACGCTTTGCACACATGCACCCTTAGGGTAATCTCACTTGTTGCCTATCGAAAAATAATCATGTCCCTCAAACATGGGCGTTTTAGCAAAGACCCTCGATAAAAGATCGTAGTCCCTCGATGACCCTCGATGTTTCCTTCG